GCAATGATTCAGTATAGTTGCTATACAACATTTTTGACCATAATAAGTGGTTCAACCAGTCACAAATGTTTTGAAACAATTTAACAAAATACTTATAGAAATTGGAGTATTTATTTAAATAAATCACTACGTATCGCTGCTATAATTAATAATTTTGACCACAATAATTACTGATTTTCACCAAATTTCGTGTGAAGATTCTGTCATAATTTATTATTTGTTTTCATCAAAAAAATTCTTCTAGCATAACTTAACTTAATAAATGATTCCAAACTACATACTACTGAGACGCTTGTTTTAATGATTCTATGATCAATGATCTTAATATAATGATTAATGGAAGCATCAGATAGACTTCTACAAATCAATTATTGTAACTTTGAAGTAAGTTAAAGTAAGAAGTTTGCTGAAAATATTGCTTTTCACAAATGCATCAACTTATTTGAGTTTAAGAAAGACATGAATTTGGTGTAAAGGAATTTATAATTATCTAAAATTGAAAATCGGAATTAGTAAATTTGATAAAAAGTTGAACTATCGATGTAATTATTCGGAAAATCAATCTCTTTGCTTTTTGTTCTAGAATACGATTATTATTCTTTTTATTACAGGAAAATAGTAGTACAAATGACGAAAAGATTCCAATTGAAGCAACAACACATACTGAAGGTATTAAATTAGGGTGGATTCAAGGGGTTATGATACCATGTCTTCTCAACATTTGGGGTGTAATGCTTTTCCTACGCCTGGCGTGGATTGTTGCTCAAGCTGGAATAGGTAAGCGGAAAATTGGGACTCCACTAACGTCTTTGTGTGATCTGTAGTCAAAATTGGTTGTTGCACTTTTAGAAAGAGAAATGTTTAAAGATAACACAATAAGATATTCGATTCATTCATTTACTTTATCCAAATAGTATTATATTTATATAGGTAATTGTTTATTACAGGTGAATCGTTACTTACAATTGCAATTTCAACGGCTGTTTGTATTATAACAACGTTATCCTTGTCAGCAATTTGTACAAATGGGGAAGTAAAAGGGGGTAAGAAATCCTTAGCTTGATACCAATGAACTGATAACATTTTACTTGACTCGAAAGAATATGTATTTTTCATTGAAAATATTCATCCTTTATGATATTTTCAATTAAAAGCAGACATACAGGGGCACTTTTAATTGAAAATATTTAATATATATTATTAAGGAAGATAGTACCTACAAAGGGTAAAAGCAAACACAATTTTTCTTAATTAATTTGAGGCAGAGGGTTGAATATTAATTAACATTAACATTTAACGTGTTTTTCTCCGTACCAGGTGGAATTTATTTCATAATATCGCGTTCCCTTGGTCCGGAATTCGGTGCTTCAGTGGGGATAGTGTTTGCGTTCGCAAATGCGGTATCGGCATCGATGAACACCATCGGGTTCTGTAACTCGCTGAACGATCTGCTGAAAGAGCACGATCTTAAGATTATCGATGGTGGAAACAACGACGTCCGTATCGTAGGGGTGATAGCGATTGCGGTCATGATTCTCATTTGTGCCATCGGTATGGAATGGGAGTCGAAAGCCCAAAACTTTCTCATCGCCATCATCCTTGGCGCTATGGCCGATTTTATGATTGGAGCGATAATGGGACCAAAAAGTGACGACGAAGCTGCGAAAGGATTCACGGGATTTACAGGTGAGTAAAAAATACAATGATTGGTATTGGATTAGGTCACTTGATCATGACGAAAAATAGATTTATAAATAAGGCATTGACCCAAGTTCAAATACTGACTTGCAAGAATGAGACCAAAACCAAAAGTTAATCCTTAAGAGTGATAGTGGTTGAGATGTGCAAAATGGTTTTTTAAATCTGATCTTTTACATATTGTAATAAGAGAAAGAAATGGAATCCATAGTTTCTTTAGCTTTGGGTTCGTCCAATAAGTGGTTTTCTAAGAATTTTGAATTATACGCATTTATTA